CTACCTTGTGAGCTTCATTTGATGCGATGCGATCATCATTGGAGATTACTATTCCATCCCATCAGACGCATGGGTGCATGTACCGGGCTCGTTTGACGTTCGCACCAACTTCCGAAGCTTGTCGTGTCTCTGCCCTGGCATACGAGAGTATGTTGTGTGGGTTACCAGGTGGCACCGTTGAAGTGGTTGTACGCGAGGTCGTTTTATACCTGTTCGTTGTTCACGTACACCCTCCTCTGCAGTCCGCGTCGCGCAAGGAAGGCACTGCGAATTTGTTACACCTTTTGGAGGCTCCTGAGGAGGTATGTCTAGCTTGGGTGGTTAGTGAGGGAGGCTTACAAACACTATCCCAGCTGGACGTGCCACTTAAGAAGCGCTGACGCTGCAGCTCTCTGCTCGACCCGACAGTTTCGATATGACTCAGTGTGCAATAGATAAGGGTGTCACCATATTGAAGGATATCGACAGCTTGAGAAGTGGCACGAACTCCTCCAGTAATCTCACGTGCTTGAACGACGTTTGCAGTTTGGTATTCTCACTTGTGGTATCTTCTAACATCCGTTGGCCTTATGAAAGCTTACCAAAGAAACCTTCGAGTTGGTAGACCTGATGCACGCAGATCTATCAGCATAGATTATGTCAGTCGACCTATTTTTCTTTTAGTTTGGCGTTCATTCACTTTATCATCATAATTCCCACGTTTCTGCCATACGCACCACGTTTGCTTCTCTCCGAGCGCCCCTAGTTAGTTATGCAACAACTTAAAAGACATAATGCAACAAGTGGAAAGGGAGAAACTCGTCCTTAAACAGCGTATGATACGTGATGGTATGGCCATTTCTGCGGTAACCCAACTCTGAAGGTGGGGGAAATTCACATTGCGTTCTAATGTTGTCAACTGACCAAATCCGATGAGCTAATTGGCAGCTTCCGATTGAGTGCGGTATGTGCACTTCGTCAGGGTCTGCAATTCTACCCCCCTGATCATATGAGTAAAACCGTTTCAGAGGCCAGCTCGCGGGCTACGTATTAATGTCTGTTGCCTCCGAGTTCGGCATCAGTGCCTATGCAGAAACCCATAGCCCATAGTCCTATAGAGTCTAGGACAGCGTGCTTGGGCACATGTCTGAGGTCGCCCATCTTGACAACATCAGGAAGCGAAAAAATGGTTTAAACCTGTTTAAACCCGTCACTGACTGGTCGTGACCGTGATTCTGTCATTCCCCGTTTCTCTGATGAACCCACATCTTTTGGCTAGGAGCGGTAGGAAACCTGCAGTCACTTTTCGCATTCTGATTGGAACAGTGTACGCCCAATGGGGCTCTGGGAGGTTAAGCGAGGTCGTTTGAATGTAGCCCGGCACAGGAATAATGTTGCATAATATTCTGATAAGCTCGGCTAGGAGCGGTAGGAGAGACCTGTGGGCCAGTGGCCACATTCACATCCTGATAGGGAACAGTGTGCATCCGATGTGGAATTTGAACGAGATCACTCGAGGACAACATTAAGTGGTTGCCATATCTGAAGACCATATGCCTTCGGATTCAAGGCTTGTGCCGTTCCACCCCACTGGTAACTCGGCACATATAGTATGTTCGGCTCCTTGTTTACTGGACATGATGCAACCTGCAGGGCTGTACTTCCAGATCGAAGCTGTGCTGTGCTACATCAGCAAATCATAAGTCTGCTTAACCATGCTTGACCACTTAGCAGCACCTGTCAAGCACATAAGTAGCATAAGCATGCTGAGCACCCACATTGCCAAGCATTCATGACCACTAAGTAACTTGGCAAATGTTTAAGTGCGACTCAAGTAGATAAGCATCCCAAGCAGCTAAGTTACTATGGAATTTGAGCATACAATCAAGTATGCTACAAGTATGAATCTGATAAAGGTGAAAACACATGATTCAGTCACTTGTAGTCCTAAAAGTGGGTCATCTGACATGTACATTTCGTCCTGAAACTGGGACTAACTGACATTGGCCGGTGGTCCCTAGGGTTGGGTAGGCCGGACTGTGAAGGTGGGGTCGGTTTATGTCACAGGATGATGGATCAACTTCCCTGGAAGTGGGGTTGGCTGACATGACTATAGGATGGATTGATGACCTGGAAGTGAGGTCAGCTGATGCAGCTATGGGATGAATTAGTGTCCTGGAAGTGGGGTTGGCTGACGCAGCTATGGGATGAATGAGTGTCCTAGAAGTGGGGTTGGCTGACACAGCTATGGGATGAATTAGTGTCCTAGAAGTGGGGTCAGCCGACACAGCTATGAGATAGATTAGTGTCCTAGAAGTGGGGTCAGCTGATGCAGCTATGGGATAGGTTAGTGTCCTGGAAGTGGGGTTGGCTGACACAGCTATGGGATGAATTAGTGCCCTAGAAGTGGGGTCAGCCGATGCAGCTATGGGATAGGTTAGTGTCCTGGAAGTGGGGTCGGCTGACACAGCTATAGGATGAATTAGTGTCCTAGAAGTGGGGTTGGCCGACACAGCTATGAGATAGATTAGTGTCCTAGAAGTGGGGTCAGCTGATGCAGCTATGGGATAGGTTAGTGTCCTGGAAGTGGGGTCGGCCAACACAGCTATGGGATGAATTAGTGCCCTAGAAGTGGGGTCAGCCGATGCAGCTATGGGATAGGTTAGTGTCCTGGAAGTGGGGTCAGCTGACACAGCTATAGGATGAATTAGTGCCCTAGAAGTGGGGTTGGCTGACACAGCTATGAGATAGATTAGTGTCCTAGAAGTGGGGTCAGCCGATGCAGCTATGGGATAGGTTAGTGTCCTGGAAGTGGGGTCAGCCAACACAGCTATGGGATGAATTAGTGCCCTAAAAGTGGGGTTGGCTGATGCAGCTATGAGATAGATTAGTGTCCTAGAAGTGGGGTCAGCTGATGCAGCTATGGGATAGGTTAGTGTCCTGGAAGTGGGGTTGGCCGACACAGCTATGGGATGAATTAGTGCCCTAGAAGTGGGGTTGGCCGATGTCACACACCAAAGGTGTTTGGTGAGGTGGACATGGATGTAGCTGATGAATGGAGGTGAAGACCATAGCCCTCATGCGAAGAAGGACAGCCAGCAATGTCGGCAGTCATCCCTTGCACAAGAACAAGTTGTCAATAGCAAAGAAAAAGGAGGAGGCAGGTTAAGCGCCCATGTACGGCATTCCGGTTTTCGACATATCTCCACCAATTCTGCAGACACCAAAACCATTCCCACACTCACTTGTAGTGCTCAGCCATGCGATCCTACCTTCCAGGATTGGAAAGGATTTGCACACTCCACATGTTTCTACAGCACTCCCTCCAAAAGACGCTCATTTTGCTAATTCTTCTGATATGGCTGCCTCCACATCAGTCATTTCACTTGTCCCCTTTGCTAGGGACCATGGCTACATATATCTACCAGGGGTTCCTACCAGCTTCCATCCTGAAGCATCCTGGTACATCCCACCCTCATCTGCCCCCTCTCAGCCCATCCAGCTTGGACAGCATGTTCTTTTTGTCAGTATGACCTCCAGGAGGACATTCTTTGGTCGCCTCAGGTCTGTCATTCACTTGGAAAGGTCTTGTGTGGTTGTTTCAGTCTCTCCAGTCCAAGAAGCATATGGATCCTTCCTCCCTGCCCCCTGCAACGTCTTCATACCAGTCTCATCCATCATTCTTCCAAAATTGCAACAGCTACAGTATAATCTACTGTTCTCCACTCTCCCTGATCGCATCCATGACAAGTATGATGCACATCTTGCCTCCTTGTTGCAAGATACAGCAGAAGACGCTCCCCCTTCATCCTCTCTTCCAACAGAGCCTCATTCATGAAGTTTTTATTTGCTTCACTGAGAGGATGGTTTGGGGGGGAAAGTTGCGATCCCCTATGCTCCTGTCACCCCACAGACCCCCAAAGCTTGACCCCTGTTGACATCTGACTCACCCTGTCCGCTTTTGGATGTACTATATCGGCATCAGATCAGTGCTGCCTCTCTGTCATCCCACTTTGGCCTAGAAGTGATCTCTTCGAGATGTGACATGCACAGCCTCCCCCTAATGTGATTCCAGTGCACTTTCCCAGTACCTGACATTGCTTGACTCATACTGTGACATTCTGACTGTCTTTGACTTACCTATTGCCAATACTTACCAATCTTTTGACTTTGCTTACTGATTCTTCACTTTTTGGCTTACTTATCCTTACCAATGCTTACCAATGCTTTCCAAGACGATTACCCATCACTTACATTCCTTACTCATCAGTTACCAATCACTTACCAAGTGTTTGCACCTTGTTTTCCATAGGCAACACCCCTGTACTGTATATAAGTCACTGTACTTAGGTAGCAAAAAAAGAAGACATCAGAGAGCCCCTCTTGCTCGCAATTTATCATCTCTCAGTAAATCATTCATCAGCTTCGATAGTTGAGACTTTATTAAGGGTCTAGCTATCATCTACTTCACTTATCATCATCTATCATCCATATACTTCGCTCCAAGCCCTCCCTGAGCTCAGTACAGCTTAGGACATTGAATTAAGTCACCATCCATCCTTCTGTAGGCTGACAGCAGTCTACCCTATCGCTTTCTATCACATTCTTGCTCCCTCTTCGTCAGGAGCACCCCCAACCCTCAGCACTCATCTTTGAGTGTTGTAGCTTGCAAAAACCCTCCCAAAGAACAGGTTCTACCATCTAGGTACCACATAGGCACACCACCACTTGCTTTCATTGTCTTTTGTGTTGGTTTTGGTTGGTTTTCACCACTGAACCTCACTTTGACTCACACCAGGTCTCATCCAAAAAACAGGTATGTCATCCCAGTGTGCAGCGTCTCTCTACCACTCACAGAACACCCTCTCACCTTGTCTCATCCACAAAACAGGTATGTCGTCCTACTTCCTGGCATCCCTCTACCACTCACAAAACACCCCCTTGCCATGCTTATCCAAAAAAAAGGTATGTTGTCCCAACTTTGCAGTGTCCCTCTACAACTCACAGAACACCCCCTCACCATGCCTTATCAAAAAAACAAAAGGTAAGTCGTCCCAGGTCACGGCGTCCCTCTACCACTCACAGAACACCCCCTCACTGTGCTCATCCAAAAAAAAGGTATGTTGTCCCAGCTTCGTGGTGTCCCTCTACAACTCACAGAACACCCCCTCACTGTGCCTTATCCAAAAAAAAGGTAAGTCGTCCCAGGTCACGGCATCCCTCTACCACTCACAGAACACCTCCTCGCCATGCCTCATCCAAAAAAAGGTACATTGTCCCAGCTCGCAGCGTCCCTCTACCACTCACAAAACACCCACAGAACACCCCCTTGCCATGCCTTATCAAAAAACAAAAGGTAAGTCGTCCCAGGTCGCAGCGTCCCTCTACCACTCACAGAACACCCCCTCACCATGCTCATCCAAAAAAAAAGGTATGTCGTCCCAGCTTTGCGGCATCCCTCTACCACTCACAGAACACCCCCTCGCCATGCTCATCCAAAAAAAAAGGTATGTCATCCCAGCTTCGCAGCATCCCTCTACAACTCACAGAACACCCCCTCACCATGCCTCATCCAAAAAAAGGTACATTGTCCCAGCTCATGCAGCGTCCCTCTACAACTCACAAAACACCCACAGACCACCCCCTCACCATGCTCATCCAAAAAAAAAGGTGTGTTGTCCCAGCTTTGCGGCATCCCTCTACAACTCACAGAACACCCCCTCACCGTGCTCATCCAAAAAAAAAGGTATGTTGTCCCAGCTTTGCAGTGTCCCTCTACCACTCACAGAACACCCCCTTGCCATGCTCATCCAAAAAAAAAAGGTATGTCATCCCAGCTTTGCGGCGTCCCTCTACCACTCACAGAACACCCCCTTGCCATGCTCATCCAAAAAAAAAAGGTATGTCATCCCAGCTTCGTGGCATCCCTCTACAACTCACAGAACACCCCCTCGCTGTGCCTCATCCAAAAAAAAGGTACGTTGTCCCAGCTCACGCAGCGTCCCTCTACAACTCACAAAACACCCACAGAACACCCCCTCGCTGTGCTCATCCAAAAAAAAAGGTGTGTTGTCCCAGCTTTGCAGCGTCCCCCTATAACTCACAGAACACCCCCTCGCTGTGCCTTATCAAAAAAAAAAGGTATGTCATCCCAGGTTGTGGCATCCCTCTACCACTCACAGAACACCCCCTTGCTGTGTCTCATCCTACAAAAGGTATGTTGTCCCAGTTCCTGGTGTCCCTGTACCACTCACAAAACACACTAGTAGGCTATCAATTCATATCTCCCTCCTGCCACACTGCATCTCCCTTGCTGTGTCTCATCCAATAAGGTATGTTGTTGGACTTCTACTTCATGGTGTCCAGATGATACTTACATATCACCCTCTTTGGTCTGCTTATCCAGTGCCCAGTGTTGTGTAGTTGCATACATTGGCTTCTCTTTTCCATAAATATGTAGATATCTATCCCTGCTGCATGATATATGTACTAAACTAAATGCATTTATTGTTATCTTACTGCTTGTCCCCTACACCTTCTGTGTCTTGTAAAGATAATAAGGTATGCTACTGTTCCCTTCTGTGTCATATGTTGCTGCCACTCACTAATGTTGGCATAATAGACTCAGATGGTGAAGACCAAGCAGACAGCTAAGAAGACCACTGGGGGTAGAGCTCCCAGGGTATCTCTTGCTGGTCTGAAAGCTAGGGAAAAACATGCTGCCAAGTCAAGCAAGGCCCATGCTAGGAAGGCCCCTGTTGCCAAGAAGAGAAGGATGAGGAACTTGGCAAGTCTCTTTTTATATTCCATCCATCTTTCTAACATTCTATGCAGTTCTGTGTGATGTGCAGGGATGGAGGGACATTGTGGCCTTGTGATCAGGCAGGTTGCAGAAGGGTAGTGTGTAACAAGTGTGTTGTAGTACCTGAGGATTGCCTTGCAGAGGTCACCCAGCTTCCTGTGACCTTCAGGTGTGTTAACCTCCCTTTTATGAATTAATTCCATTGACTCAAACTCTGGATGAACTTCAGGTGTGTTTCCTGTCATTGGAAAATGACAAGATTTGAAAGTCCTCAGCCCTATTTTGTAAGTGCATATTGCCACCCCAATCACTTCTAACTCCAAGTACAGGGCTTCTACTTGTCAGGCAAGCCAGTCCTGAAACACCCTCTTGTGGTCATTGGGGGGTTTGAGCATGCCACCACCTCTGAAGTGGCTGGTAACTCTACTGCCATTATCCACCTCCACCTTGAGTCTCTAGAGCTTGGCCATGCCCCTGTGCATATCCTTCACACCATGTTGCAGGGATATTTCAGACAAGACACCTACCACTTCTCACAACTGCCCTTCAACTTTGCCACTGAGGAGTCCAGAGCTGCCTATGACACTGCAGCATCAAAGCTAGCTTCAAGTCTGACTACCTTTGCTAAGGTAGTCATTTTCCTTACTACCCATACTGATGAAGACAGGGGGGATCTGTTCTCTGGAATGGAGAATAAGGTTCCAATAGCCACAGAGGTCTTTGAGGTAAGTCACCATTGTTTGACTGTCACTCCCATCTGACCAGTTGCAGTTTCTGCAAGGCCTTCTGTTACCCCTCTCCAACATTGTCAAGGGTGGAGACCTCATCTTCTTTGTATGTGGTTCTATTGTAAGGAAGGAGCAGAGCTTCCAAGGACTGAAGGCAGCTGTGCAACAATAGGTTTTCTTTCAATGTTGGTGGTTATGGCTAACACCATATCAGTTTCAAGCCAAGGTCCATGTTGCTTTTTGATGCTGAGAGACTTCAACTAGTCACCACCATTCCCTTCCTCATGAGTGTCCTTGACTCCACCCTTTTTCAAGGCTTCCATGTCCAAAGTGCAGTCAGGTATGCCCTGAATGACTGTGGCATGTTGGGTAGGCACTCCAACATCATCCTGATGTTGTGGCAGGAGAAGGTAGTGGTGGAGAAATTTGTCCGGACTGACAAGTTCATCAGGCCTTGGGGACAACAATTGCCTGCCCAGTGCCCTCAGTGTTATAGCATTCAGAAGTGGGAAGCTGGTTGTTCAGGGCAGACTTATTCCTATGAGTGCAAGAATCCTGGCTGTGGGAAGGACACACAAGGCACATCTCAGCCTCCCCAAACCTATACTATCTGCATGTCCAAAGGGGCTACCAAACTGACACAGGGAAAGGGGCAAACATCATCCTGGCTGTTGGAATCTTTGTAAAATACCCTACCTTGATACATATGATATGCATGTACTACAATCAAAAATAGCTGCTTTGTGTTTTCAAATTTCATATGACATTGAATGTTCAGAAAAAAAAGTAATTTCCTGCAGGACAATTCCTCCTTAAGTACTGATACACAACTGAGTAAATTTGCCCAATGTTAATTCCAATACAATGGCCAGATTGGTAGAGTTAACTTCAATACCACAGGTTAAGGATAGGATATAGGATTTTTCCACAACCATGTGGGTTCAGCCAGCTAACTACCAAGGAAGTAGTGTACTGAGTAATAAGATTGGCCAGCCCCACTAACCCACTAGCAAGATATTGGTCTTTCTGGCAAAGTGTCTGCCCAACCACAACTCCAGGTCATGGTTCATTCCCCCCAGCCACATCAGCTGACCCCACTGCCAGGACATCATCCCTTCCCCCAGCCATGTCAGCTGGCCCCACTTCCAGGTCACTAATCTATCCCATAGCTGGTTTGGCCAACCCCACTTCCAGGTCACTAACCTATCCCATAGCTGTGTCAGCTGACACCACTTCCAGGTCACTAATTCATCCCATAGCTGTGTTGGCCAACCCCACTTCCAGGTCACTAATCTATCCCATAGCTGTGTTGGCTGACCCCACTTCTAGGTCACTAATTCATCACATAGCTGGGTTGGCTGACCCCACTTCTAGGACACTAATCTATCCCATAGCTGTGTCAGCTGACCCCACTTCCAGGACACTAACCTATCCCATAGCTGCATCAGCCAACCCCACTTCTAGGACACTAATCTATCTCATAGCTGTGTCAGCTGACCCCACTTCTAGGACACTAATCTATCTCATAGCTGTGTCAGCTGACCCCACTTCCAGGACACTAACCTATCCCATAGCTGCATCGGCCAATCCCACTTCTAGGACACTAATCTATCTCATAGCTGTGTCAGCCGACCCCACTTCTAGGACACTAATCTATCTCATAGCTGCATTGGCCGACCCCACTTCTAGGGCACTAATTCATCCCATAGCTGTGTCAGCTGACCCCACTTCCAGGACACTAACCTATCCCATAGCTGCATCGGCCAATGTGAGTCAAAGTGAGGTTCAGTGGTGAAAACCAACCAAAACCAACACAAAAGACAATGAAAGCAAGTGGTGGTGTGCCTATGTGGTACCTAGATGGTAGAACCTGTTCTTTGGGAGGGTTTTTGCAAGCTACAACACTCAAAGATGAGTGCTGAGGGTTGGGGGTGCTCCTGACGAAGAGGGAGCAAGAATGTGATAGAAAGCGATAGGGTAGACTGCTGTCAGCCTACAGAAGGATGGATGGTGACTTAATTCAATGTCCTAAGCTGTACTGAGCTCAGGGAGGGCTTGGAGCGAAGTATATGGATGATAGATGATGATAAGTGAAGTAGATGATAGCTAGACCCTTAATAAAGTCTCAACTATCGAAGCTGATGAATGATTTACTGAGAGATGATAAATTGCGAGCAAGAGGGGCTCTCTGATGTCTTCTTTTTTTGCTACCTAAGTACAGTGACTTATATACAGTACAGGGGTGTTGCCTATGGAAAACAAGGTGCAAACACTTGGTAAGTGATTGGTAACTGATGAGTAAGGAATGTAAGTGATGGGTAATCGTCTTGGAAAGCATTGGTAAGCATTGGTAAGGATAAGTAAGCCAAAAAGTGAAGAATCAGTAAGCAAAGTCAAAAGATTGGTAAGTATTGGCAATAGGTAAGTCAAAGACAGTCAGAATGTCACAGTATGAGTCAAGCAATGTCAGGTACTGGGAAAGTGCACTGGAATCACATTAGGGGGAGGCTGTGCATGTCACATCTCGAAGAGATCACTTCTAGGCCAAAGTGGGATGACAGAGAGGCAGCACTGATCTGATGCCGATATAGTACATCCAAAAGCAGACAGGGTGAGTCAGATGTCAACAGGGGTCAAGCTTTGGGGGTCTGTGGGGTGACAGGAGCATAGGGGATCGCAACTTTCCCCCCCAAACCATCCTCTCAGTGAAGCAAATAAAAACTTCATGAATGAGGCTCTGTTGGAAGAGAGGATGAAGGGGGAGCGTCTTCTGCTGTATCTTGCAACAAGGAGGCAAGATGTGCATCATACTTGTCATGGATGCGATCAGGGAGAGTGGAGAACAGTAGATTATACTGTAGCTGTTGCAATTTTGGAAGAATGATGGATGAGACTGGTATGAAGACGTTGCAGGGGGCAGGGAGGAAGGATCCATATGCTTCTTGGACTGGAGAGACTGAAACAACCACATAAGACCTTTCCAAGTGAATGACAGACCTGAGGCGACCAAAGAATGTCCTCCTGGAGGTCATACTGACAAAAAGAACATGCTGTCCAAGCTGGATGGGCTGAGAGGGGGCAGATGAGGGTGGGATGTACCAGGATGCTTCAGGATGGAAGCTGGTAGGAACCCCTGGTAGATATATGTAGCCATGGTCCCTAGCAAAGGGGACAAGTGAAATGACTGATGTGGAGGCAGCCATATCAGAAGAATTAGCAAAATGAGCGTCTTTTGGAGGGAGTGCTGTAGAAACATGTGGAGTGTGCAAATCCTTTCCAATCCTGGAAGGTAGGATCGCATGGCTGAGCACTACAAGTGAGTGTGGGAATGGTTTTGGTGTCTGCAGAATTGGTGGAGATATGTCGAAAACCGGAATGCCGTACATGGGCGCTTAACCTGCCTCCTCCTTTTTCTTTGCTATTGACAACTTGTTCTTGTGCAAGGGATGACTGCTGACATTGCTGGCTGTCCTTCTTCGCATGAGGGCTATGGTCTTCACCTCCATTCATCAGCTACATCCATGTCCACCTCACCAAACACCCTTGGTGTGTGACACTGGCGAGAGGGGGGGGGTGTTTTGTGAGTTGTAGAGGGATGCTGTGAGCTACTTACCTTCTTTTTGAATGAATGGGCTTTGTGAGTAGTATGGGACACTGAACAACATGCAATAGACTGAGAAGAATGGCAGTGTCCTGGTGTGTGATGTGAGTGTTGAAGCCATGAGAGGTTTGACAACATACCTTTTTTGTTTTTTTTTTGAAGGGAGATGTGGCACGATGTACCTATTTTGTGTTTAGAGAGGGAGAGGTGCAAGAGATCCAGAGGACAACGACGTACCAAAAATTTCGCTGAGACGCAGTGGGGCCAGAGAGTGGGATAATGCAATGACGGTTGGTGAGGGAGACACTGTGTGGCAAGAGGAGAGGAGCAAAAGACCATGTCAATCCGGATACTCGGATGCACAGATCTCGATTTTGGACAGGTCACGTAGTGAGACCTATGATAATCTTGGACACAACCTTAATTGTGACATGAACAACATCACAGCTGTCATGATTATCACACATGTCTACCCATACTTTGGATGCATCTCTGGAACATTACATAGGACTATATATGGAGTGGTCAGTCGCTGCTAGGCCGATTTCTGGTTTCAATAAGTGACTACATGTATTAAATGATCCGGTAGTGCTACTACAATACATTTTCTGTGAAATCCCAAGGGTAAGCCACCACTACCACTCAGCCAATGGCACGAGGGAGTGCTTGCTTGGCTCGACAATGCAATTATGAGAATGTCAAGTGAACATTTAGTATTTAGTATATAGAAGCCGAATCCAGTGACAGTGGAGTCATGTGACATTGCTATTCGTGATGTATAGTACGACACGCAGTACTGACTCAGAGGAAGTTGCCAGCACTCATGGCAACTGAACATGCACCAAGGCCAAGAACGTGACATTGACAGCGACCTCGCTAGTTGGACTGTGGCCAAACAATGGTACATAAGACTCAAGTATATAAATCCCCCCCAGTCAGTGGCATGTTTTTTCCCTTACTGCATTTCCCTGCGATGTGATGCTTCCCCTCCATCGTCCTCCCTCTCCCTCCATCTCCATCTCCCTTTCCCCCTCTCTCTCTCCTGTTTTGTGTGCTATGTCATCCCCGTTTTTATCTCAGCCCATTGTCTCGGCTGTCATAAGGTAAGTGGCACCTCTGATCCCAGAATTTTCACATTACTTGATTACCGTTATTTTGCAGCATCCTTGGCACCTCACTATTGACTGTAGTCTGCAGCTACAGGATGTAGGGAGGGGCTGCCCTTGACCTTAGATTGTGCTTGGCCAGCGCAATTTTTGGTTGTTGGGTAATATGTTGGGTCTGGGGGAATAGTCTGTGCCTACATTGTAGGCCAGCTCATATGGGATCTGGGGGCTAGTCTGTACCTACATTGTAGGTCAGCTTATGACGTTTTATTTGGTCTGTACCCACCTGTGTGGGTCAGCCTATGACGTTTTTTTGTGTGGTATGTGTTGGTATATATTGGTAGTAGCTAGTTGGTCAGGCTTTGGTGTAGTGAGTATTCAACTTCTGTATAATCTATGTTGTACTGACATAAACTTTCTAGAGCTGTTTGTCTTTGACTCCTGGTGAATAAATAGTGCACCTCAGGTATGTGAACTTTGCAAAGTTGTGTTGATGCTAATGTGTTTTTAGTATCTTTGTTATCAGCTTTTGTGCGCTTTTTTGGGAACTTGGTTGAATTGAGGACGGTTTGTATTGGCCCAACTGTACTTCTGGAGGAGGGCCCCCTCTGGAATGCAGGCAAGCCTTGGTTTCTTATGAAACCATTATACCTTTGTAGTTGAAATTGTAACTGTAGTTGAATTTATGTATGACCTTGTAAATGTCACTGCTTTGATTGGATTTGAATGCTGTGTGGGAATCTATGCTTCTTTTTTTGAATGAAGCATGTGCTAACCCTAACCCTAGCATAAGACTTGGTGTATTGTTTCATGTCAGTCTGCCTGGCTGGTGGATGGTGCTAGATTAGCACTGGTGTTCCATGGCTGATCTTCTTAAGCAAGGTTTCCCTTTGATGCTCAAGAGCTTGCCAATGGCATCACTAGCAACCCAACATCTTCCCTTCAAATGCTGACTGGATGTGTTCCTAGCTGTTGGATG